GAGAACTTTACCACAATTTTCAAAAGAAATGTTTATTAGACTGTAGTACATTGTTAAAAATAGCCCCCATAGGATGAATCACTTCTGTGTCCATGCCTCTTTGCAATGTGTCTTTATTGCTTCTTCCAGTAAGAGCTGGAGTGTGTTTTCCCATTCCTTGAATCTGGCTGCCCTTCCGACTTGTTTTGGCCAATAGAATGTGATAAAAGTGGCATTCAGGGACTTCTGGCCCAGAAAAAACAAAGCCTTGTGGCATTTGCTTTTGCTCATGGTGGATCCAGCTGCCATATAAAGAAGTCCAGGTTATCTTACTGGAGAGAGTCTATTTGGAGAGATAGGTCCTAGAGGATGAAATGTCACATGGAGAGAAAAGCCATATGGAAGAGAACCAAGGTCCCAGACAATATGTGTGAGCCCAGCTAATACATGAAAGCAGAGAGACCCAGCCATCCCAATTCACCTTCAGCTATTTGAGCTATCCTAGGGAGAGTGCAAAAATTGTGAGTGAGACCATCTTGGGTCTTCTAGATCCAGTCCAACAACTTAAGCCACTAAGTTGTTGATTGTTAACCAGTAATAGGTAACTGACACATGGATATTTAAATGTTTTCCAAACTTTTGTGACTGTAAGTAACAGCAATGAGCATCTTTTTACTGGCTTCCTTGTCTACCAAGGGAATCTGTTGTTGAATTTGCCTGAGTCTATAAACTGAGTAAGAAGTCATGTCTCTCCATTTTGGCGTTCAAATTAGTCTTTCCTTACAGACTGTAAATTTTCTAAGCACGACGCTAAAACCTTACTTCCTGTCTAATATACAGAACCGAGGCCTCTTCCACACCCTCCAGTTCAAGAAAGTTCTGATTTCAAATATCCACTGCTTACCTGCAACTCCATTTCCCTGCTGCCCTCTATTCTTGGTAATGATCGGAAATCTACAGACAACATGGATGCTCTTGTTCTGGGGTCCCTCATCTTCCTAGTACCCCATCCTAAACATCTTCATATCTAAAGCTATTTTTATTTTTCTTCCAGGCTCAGAAAATAAAGGCTTTTTTGATCTTTAAGGCAAATTCTCTACCTGAATACTTGATCCCATCCTTGTTTGTCTCCTCTGGGACTTAGTATGGTGCCTGGCAAAGAAGTGATGCTCAAAAATTTTATTGAATGAATAATGGGTCTTGTTCTGTTCATTCTCTCCCCTCTTTATCCATAGTATGGCCAGCTTCTCTAACTCTTTTGGCCTCTTTCCTTTAGCATGTATGTGAGCAAGTAATTTCCTGTCCATGATGGTCAGTTTTGTGTATCAATTGGGCTAGGCTCTAGTATCCAGTTACTCAGTCAAACACTAGTCTAGGTCTTTCTATCAAGGTATTCTGTAGATGAGATTGTCAGCTACAAAGCAGCTGACTTTATGTAAAGGATTGTCCTGGGTAATCTGGGTAAACCCAATCCAATCAGTTGAAGAGGCCTTGAAAATTTAGTAGGTTTCCCTGAAAATAGGAAGGAGGAAAAAATCCCCTCTATAGGCTGCAGCTTCAGCTCTGCTTGAGTTTCCAGACTGTTCTTTTTTATTTTTTTTAATGTTTATTAATTTTTGAGAGACAGAGACAGCATGAGTGGGGAAGGAGCAGAAAGAGAGGGAGACACAGAATCTGAAGCAGGTTCCAGGCTCTGAGCTATCACCAGAGCCTACAGAGCCTGACACAGGGCTCAAACTTATGAACTGTGAGACCATGACCTGAGCCAAAGTCGGGCGCTTAACTGACTGAGTCACCCAAGCACCCCCAGCCTGTTCTTATTGGCTGGCCTTATGGACTTCAAACTTGATTATCCAACCCCACAATTGTGCAGGCCAATTCCTTTCAATAAATCCCTTAAAAATATATATGTAATACATATATATGTGTGATATATATACATTCTATTGATTCTATGTGAATGGTGGAACCCTGACTGACACACTACCTTAAAATAAGAAACAAAACAATACTCTGATGGATCCTGCATATCTATTATAAATTAAACTGTCCCCCTTTCTCTAAGCTTCTAAAAATACTATCCTAGATTCACCAATTCTACTTCCTCCCTTTGCAGTCACCCTTTGAGCTACAGTCTCATTTATTCCATTGGTGAATTGGTCATATTCTTGTGGCCGTGGGTGACCTCAAACTCAGTGTATCAAAAGTTATCTCATTATCCTTGCCACCCACCTAACTCTATTCTACCTTTTAATGCTATTGCAAACTCAAAACAACAATCTGGAAGTCATGCTAGACATCTAAATATCTAAATACCAGACATTTAAATAAGTTCTACTATCCATATTCAGTGTTAAAGTTTGAATTCAGGCCACCATCATGTCTTGCCTCAGTGTTTGCAATAGATTCCTTTACCTCCTCATGACCAGCCTCGTCTCCTTTAAATCTGCTTTTAGGGTGCTCTTTGATGCAAAGTAACCAAAATTGTCCTGCCTAAGACTCAGAGACTCCTTATCACCTACAGGAAGGGCTCCCTAATCCTAACTACCATCACAAGGAACTTTTAAGAAACAAAAATTAGAGTCCTACTCAGACCTAATAAGAATTTCCAAAGTGGGACCAGATAATTTCTATTTTTTAAGAGCTACTCAGGTAATTATGATCATCCAGGGTGGGGAACCACCAGCCTTCAATGTAAAATCCAAGTTCTGCCCAGAATCTGACACCACCACTCCAAGCTTCATCCCTCAGCACACACCAACTCCAGCAATACTGACCCAAGACCACTGATTCTTCCAACCCATGTTGTTTAACACCTTTCTGTTAGGGATGTCCTTCTTCCCTTATCTGCTTGAGAAATTCCTAATCATCTTTTCAAAACTCTATTCAAGCATTTTCTAGTCTCTTATTCAATGGGCAAATATTGAAAACCTGTGAAATTGTATACATTACATATATGTGGTTCTTTGGATAGCAATTATATTTCAATAAAAATATTAAAATTTATTGAGATCCTACTATATGCCATGCACTGAGCTGAGAATTAAGATATAAAGAAAGATCAGTGAACTTTACTGGTAGTGCTGCCTTCAGTAAGCTCATAGACCACTGAAGACATACGAATACACTAATAGACACTGGGAAGTAAATTCATGAGAGTCTGTGATAGCTGTAACAGCTCCCCAAAGATGTCCACATGTTAATCCTCAGAATCTGTGACTATGTTACCTTACACTGCAAAACAAATTTTGTAGATGTGATTAAGTTAGAGATTCTGAAATGGTAAGATTATATGGGGCTATTTTGGCAGGCCCAAAGTAATCACCAGGGTCTTTCTAAGAAGGCAGGAAGATGAGAGAGAGTAGGAGAGGGAGGTGGGAGATTGGAAGATGCTATGTTACTGACTTGGAAAATGGGAGGATGGAGACATGAGCTGAGGAATGCAAGTGGCCTTTAGAAACTGAAAAGAGTTGGGGCGCCTGGGTGGCGCAGTCGGTTAAGCGTCCGACTTCAGCCAGGTCACGATCTCGTGGTCCGTGAGTTCGAGCCCCGCGTCGGGCTCTGGGCTGATGGCTCAGAGCCTGGAGCCTGTTTCCGATTCTGTGTCTCCCTCTCTCTCTGCCCCTCCCCCGTTCATGCTCTGTCTCTCCCTGTCCCAAAAATAAATAAACATAGAAAAAAAAAAAAAAAAAAAAAAAAAAAAAAGAAACTGAAAAGAGTAAATGAATTCTTCACTTAGAACCTCCAGAAGGATCCAGCCCTGCCAACTTTAGTCCAGTGGGATCCATTTTGCCCTTCTGACCTTCAGAAATAGAATGTCTTTTAAGCAACAAAGTTTGTAGTAATTTAATACTGTAGCAAAAGAAAGCTAATACAGTGGCCAATTCAAGGCACTATGGTAGTCTATGTCAAGTTATGGAGTGGGGATGGGATGTTCAGGAAGAACTACCCAGAGGTGATGACACCAGAGCTGAGGAAGGGAGACTGTGTTTCAGGGGATGACCCAAGTGGAGGAATTAGTATTTGCCAAGGCACACAGGAAGAGCATGGCAAGTGTTTCAATAGGGCAAGGTTACTTGCATTAAACAGTAGAAATAATAACAATATTAATTGTGATAGGAGTAAGTATCTGTATGCCAGACACTGTTCTAAAGCACCTTACAACACTGAGGTAGAGACTATTATTTTCATTTTACCCATAAGGACACTAAGGTTTGGAGAAGTTACGTAACTCTCCTGAGAACTAGAGCTAGAATTAGAACCTTGGTGGTCTGTCTCCAAAATCTACGAATTGCCTCTGTAATACACTACAGTGAAGGGCTTATTCAAGTAAGGTGACGTCATTGTGGCTGAAGATAAATAATCTATTAGAAAGTTATTAATAAGGAGAGGATCAGCAGAGCTTGCGATACCATCTTGTCTTAAACAATGATAGAGGACAGGGTTGATAGAGTCAGAGGGGCTCTAAGTTTCTTTGATGTGATGGCAGTTTTCCTGTTGGTGAAGACAGGACCTTCCAGACAAGGTAAATCCCGTCTTCTGTGTTTCAAATGTCACACTTTGCATTTCTTTTATTTCATTTCATTTCCTCCTCCCCCCAATGTCTGATATGCAGATAGGGGTCTATGGGTGGCCTCAGTTACTACAACTGTAAAACGCCTTGAAGTAATTCCAAACTTGGTTGTGCCGCAGAATCCCGTGGGAAGCCCAAACACAATGCAGATTCCTCTCCTCATTCGGAGATTCTTATTTAGTAATACTGGGATGGGGCTTCCACCCACCCCCAAACTCTTCCAAGTGAGAGATTCTGAAAAACCGCCAGGTTTTGGTGATTAGGGACTCTCCCAGTCCACTGTATTTGGTGCACGATTCGTGAAGGCCCCGCCCCCACCTCTAGGCCCCGCCCCAGCACCACCCCTTGCCCTCTTCCTCCCCCAGATCTCCTCTCACCTCCCCTCCCTCGGTGGCTCCGTTAGGCCTCGCCCAGCTCCGCCTTTCCCAGTACCTCCCCGCGTCCCAAGATGGCTACGGTGCCGCCGGGCCCGGAGCCGTGGAACCGCGTAAAGATCCCGAAGGCGGGGAGCCACAGCACAGTGACGGTACCGGACCCCGATGCGGCGCTGGGTGAGTGAGGGGGCCCGGCGAGCCACAGACGTTTCCGGAGGCGGTGTCTGACCGGGCCCAGCGCACGTGCGCAGGGGGCGGGACTTCCTGAACCCGCGGGACACTGGGAAGGGGCGCGGGGCAGGATCTGATTTGGGGTGCGTGGGCTACCGAGTTACCCGGAGAAGCCTGTGGTGCTTCTGACTTTGGCGTCCCCCATTTAATTCACTGTACCTACCTCACGGCCTGGCTGGAGCGATGAAGGTCCGAGGCCCAGCCCTGCGGCCAGTGGGCGGAGAGAGGTGGACGTGGCTAGCGTTAGGGAGAAGTATTGTCTGGAAACCCTGGGCTCCCCACAGGCCACCAGCGGCCCCGTTCACCCTGAAGTCTGTTGCCTGATATTCTAAGAGGGCGCTGGGGCACGCTGGATTTAGACTGCAGTCTTTCTGGGCCTCTAGTTCCTTATCTGTAAAACGGGGTTAGTCCTCCCTACCTTCCACCGGCTTTGGGAGCATCTAACGATATAATTAGGGGAGAGTGCTCTTAAACGAAGGTGTTTTACCAATAGTACTGCTGTTTTTAGGCAGTAGGGCCCAATAGTTAGGAGCCAGATTGGGTTTGAAAATCCAGGCACTTCGCTTTGCTGGAGCTGGGCAGGTTGGGAAGTGTCGTTATTTAATCTTTCTGTGCCTCCTGTCATTTTTAAGTGTGGATAAAGAATAGCACCTGCCTCAAAGGGATATTTTGAAGAAGCATTACTGTTATAAAACATTTGGAACAGGGCCTAATGCGGTAAATAAACACTCAAATGATAGTTAATATTAAATACAACCTATCTAATCATGACATCCTCTTCCCCATCCATCCCCAGGCAGTTTATAGATCAATCTTCCCTCTTCTATTGAAAAGTTCCTTAATTTTTTCAATGTTTATTTATTTTTGAGAGAGAGAGAGAGCACGCGAGCATGCGTGGGGTAGGGGCAGAGAGGGAGAGACACAGAATCTGAAGCAGGCTGCAGGCTCTGAGCTGTCAGCACAGAGACGGATGCGGGCTGGAACCCACTAACGGTGAGATCAGAGACCATGACCTGAGCTGAAGTCTGACACTTAATGCACTGAGCCATCCAGGCACCCCTATTCAAAAATTCCTTAACAGGATTCCTATCAGGCATGGAAATTCAGTAACTCATTCTCCATCCTCATGGTAGTCCATTCTGGCTTCATATAGTTCGGACAAAACAAAATTAGGTTCTCCCTGTTGTGTAGGAATCTGCCTTTGTGTTATTTCCATCTAGGATGATAGTGCTACCCTTAGAGCCACAGAGAAACACATGAACTCCATCTTCTACTTCACAGCTTTTTGGACTAGGAAGCTGTTATTTTGTTTTGCTGAGCATCCTGTGTCCAGTCAGGCATGCATCAAATCATGTAACTTCCAGTTGCCATAGTGGTTTCTCTTTTCTGAATATATTCTTACCTTAAAGTACCACTGCTTTTAGGAGTATGAGTTTATTCATTCTGCCTTGCTTATGTACATAACTGGGGATTTAGAGAGGTGTATAACAGGTACCCACCATCAAGGTAAGTAGGTGTAAGAGTCCACCACATGATGGCAAAGTCTTCATATGAAAGATTATTAAAAATCATAAAAAATGTGTTACAAAAATATACTTTCTTGTTTAACAGTTGTTCTCTTAAATGACTTTGGACTTTGTATCTGTCACCATTTCCATCATCTCACATACTTAGAATCCTTAATTATGTTCTTATAGCTAAAGCTGGTTATATTAATTTGTTCTTAATCCCCTTAATAAGGAAAGATGTTCCTTCACAGTGTTTTTATATAATATACTTAATGTAGAAATACATATTAAGTTTTTTTTTTAATTTTTTTAACTTTTATTTACTTCTTGAGAGACAGAGCATGAGCGGGGGAGGGGCAGAGAGAGAGGGAGACACAGAATCCTAAACAGGCTCCAGGCTCTGAGCTGCCAGCACAGAGCCTGATACGGGGCTCGAATTCACCAACTGTGAGATCATGTCCTGAGCCGAGGTTGATGGTTAACTGACTGAGTCACCCAGGCACCCCCAAATTAAGTTTTATTAAATGTCTCTGGTTTAGACCTTTGTGTTGCAGCTGTAATTAGAGAATGTGGTCTTGTTACACTGTCACTGAAGAGCCAAACCCTGGATGCAGAAACAGATGTGCTATGTGCAGTCCTTTACAGCAATCACTACAGGATGGGCCACCACAAGCCCCATTTAGCCCTCAAACAGGTAAGGAGGAAGCCCTGTGTTTATGACTCAATGTGTTTACTTGGTGAAAATGAGATCATACTGCCACTTAATATTTTGTTATGTATGGAAACTTAGTAAATTACTTGTGACTTAATAGATCTTCAGTCCAAAGCTACATGTGGACTTTCATCCCCGCCCCCACCCTGAAAGCATTTCAAAACGCAACTTCTTTAGAAAGGAACTATGTTTAATTCTTCCCCAGTCTTGTTTCTAGTGGGTAATTGTTATGAAAAGTTTTCTTCATTATATATAATCTATATTGAGAATGCTTTTGCCTAGTTCACAGATAACAGTGATTTAAGCAAGACAAAGTGCCGGATTAAAGAACAACTTCCTGAGCATAATCAAAATCCTAATATCATAAAAAGAACAAAGTCATGGTTTATATATTGTGGGACATATAATCTAATCAGTAATGTATTAGAGTAAATGGCTATATAACAAGTTATGGAAAGTGGTTTCCTATAATTTTTAGATTGGGCCCTCTACACTACAGGGCTGAGTCTCCTAAGCTGGGTTCTTTATAATCTCATTCATTCATTCACTTTATTAATTCTGCAGGTATTTTGTGTAGCCCCCCCCCTTTTTTTTAGAGAGGGTGAGGAGGGCCAGAGAGAGAGTGGGAGAGAGAGATCTTAAACAGGCTCCATGCTCAGCACAGAGCCTGACACGGGGCTCCATCTCACCACCCTGACATCATGACATGAGCTGAAATCAAGAGTCTGACACTTCACTGACTGAGCCACCCAGGCGCCCTTTTTTGTAACTTTCTATATGCCAGGTACTGTGCTTGGTGCTCAGTATACAGGGTGAAGAACACAGACGTGTTCTCTAACCTTACAGATTCGTGCTTTCTGGTTAATTTTCTGCTCCCATTACTTAAGGCAAAAAAAGATGGGAGATTTCTTCTTCAAAGAAAGATCTGGGAGCATCTTTTCCTAAGTTTTCTTCTCTGGGGCAACTTTTTATCTCATGAGTCTTTTACTCCAAAACCAAACTTGAGTATATTTCAACTTGAAAGTGTCAGATTGAACCTGCTTTTCCTTCTGGCTTTCCAAGCTGTGAATAATTATCCAGTCAGAAAAATCTGGTGTTCCATTTTTTCTGCTTCTTCCTCTTATGTAGCTCTCCCATAAGTCAGTTGGTTAGTCAAAAATTTTCTATGCTTCTATACCCTTATTCTAGTTCTGGCTGCATCTTTTTTTTTTTAGACCATGTCAACTTTTAATTGTCTTGCTATCCTAATTGATCTTTCCTCAACTCCAGTCTTTCCTATACTCTGACATATTCTATATGCCAAAGCCGAGTTAATCATCATGAAGCACAGCTTTGATTTTTATTAATGGTTCTCTACTGGCTCCTGAGTAAAGATGAAACCTCTTAGCTTAGCTTGTAAGATCCTCCGTGATCTGGCCTTTTCAGTTTTCTGTAGCTCAGGCTTCTCTCTCACCTTCACATATTTTATATTCCAGACAACCTGAACTCTTCACAAGTCTCGTGCTCACCACATTTGTTCTCTCACCTGAACATTTGCTTATCTGGCTCTGTATATTTAGCATGCCCAGACCCTCCATCTCTGCCTGGTAAAAGCCTTGCCATCCTGTAAGTCCCATTTCAAGCTGTCCAGCAGTGATAAACTTCTTCCTAAAGAGTAACATGAGGGCATATTGTGGTAATCTCATTTTAAGTTGCATGTTTCGATTATTAGTGTGGTTGACCTCTTCTTTTTATGACTGTGGGCTATTTGGGCTTCCCCTTTGTGGTTCTCTTATGGTATTGAGTACAGTCTGCATGTGGCAGTCATTTGTGTATGGTTTATTTTTCCTGCCGTCCCTTAGAGTAGGGAACATGTCTCATGCTCCTGCAACTACCAGCTCCATTACTACTGCTGCCTTAGACCTGCTTAACATTTCCTTATTTACTCAGTACTGTCATCTACGTTATTTTTTCTCCCTTCGAAGAAAGCAGAGTAGTAGAATTACCCTATCTCTAATATTCCCATAAATGAAGCACAAAAAATAGTCAATTCCTCTTTCTGTGTGACAAGAGAGTATATGAAGACTGTTATGTTCCTCCTTGTTCTGCCTTGCTTAAATTCTCAAAATGATTTTCCAGTTTTTATTTTTGAACCATAGCTCACTTACTGTATTTCCCAAGTGCTTTCCCATCTTGGTTTGTCAGTACTTCTCTCAAAGTATAGGATCCGGAATTAAAAACTGAAAAGATAGGAGCTAACCCCAGAGAATTTGAGGATCGTTGCCTTCACTATTCTGAAAGCTATGCTGTTATAACAGAATCAATACTTAAATTTTTAGCATATATATAGCGTTAGCAAGATATTATCTTTGCCAGTGTCAGTGCCCATCCAGATTTTTACACTCTTCAAAGTCTGGATGCCATCCCATGCATGCCTTTTGTGTGGTATTTCCTGGAGATCATAGAATTCTTACCACATTTTGTAAAATGGATAGCTTTTTGTTGTTTTGTTATTAAGCAAAAATGCTACTGAGTGCCTTCTTAACACTGTGCTAAGTACTGAGTTACAGTGGTGGATAAGATAGATGAACTATACTGCCCTCATGGAGTTTACACTGTAGTTGAGAGGAGAAAGGCCATCAGTCAATCCGTCCATCAAAAGTGTCATGGAGAAAAATAAAGCAGGAAAGGGTAGAGTGCTGAGGGGACTGCAATTTTAAATAAGGCACATCTTTTATTTCAGCATTTAAATATTTTGTATGTCTTCTTATTTTTACTACTAGGTTTTTAGCAACTAGAGATGGGGGAGTGTCATATACTATTTTATTTCCCAGCATGCCTTGCATAAAGTGTCCCGTATATACTTGTAAAATGAGTAAATCACTTTGTTCATCTCTGAGGCCATTTACAAGTTGTTGAAATCAAGTAGTTAATTAATCTACTATCTTTTTTTAATGGTCTCACTGTGAGAAATCATGTTGCTTCAGAAAAATGATAATCTTGAGAATAATCTCATACTTACTTGAGTGCCCTTTATAGCATCAATCACATCCTGGAATATAGTAAATTCTTAGTTATAACTGGGTTTGAGAAATGTGTTCAGGTGGGTTAATTTCCAATTTTTGAGCAGGAGCAATTGCTTTGGGCTACAGATTATTTTGCCTAAAATGAAAGTATTCTGTAGTGTTCAGTGTATTTCCATACTTTGAATTTTTAAAAAAATTTTTTTACATGTATTCATTTTTGAGAGACAGAGAGAGACAGAGTACAAGTGGGGGAGGGGTAGAGAGAGAGGGAGACACAGAATCTGAAGCAGGCTCCAGGCTCCGAGCTGTCAGCACAGAGCCCAACGCAGGGCTCAAACTCACAAGCTGTGAGGTCATGACCTGAGCTAAAGTCCGCCACTTAACTGACTGAGCCACCCAGGCGCCCCTTCCATAATTTGAACTTTTGCGTATCTTTGCTTTCCTCGTCCCATCAGTGGCCATGTCCGTATTCTATGAATTTGAGCTACTCTTCCCCTTCCAGGTTGAACAATGTTTAAAACGTTTGAAAAACATGGATTTGGAGGGTTCAATTCAACATCTGTCTGAGTTGTTTTCTTCCAAGTAAGTGGTCCAGCTGCTTTGTGATGGGCTTTGTGGTGGGCTGGGAACTCTGTCTTTAGTGCGGTCTCTCTTTGGACTTTGCTTGGTGTTGGGATATAATCAATTGTACTTCAGTTGTGCAAATTTTGTTTTAGTAACGGGCACCTGGTATTTGTGAGAATGTCTCTGTTGGCTTGTGGAGGGATGGCAGGATACTGACATCTGGGTCACAATAGATGACATTGAAATATCAGTGTCCATCAACTTGAGTAAGTCACTGTTGAGCAGAACTATTTCAAATTGAGCTTCAAGCTCACCTGCACTTGAAAACTGCTATGTAAGAGCTTTATAATTAATGAACTTTAAGAATAAAAAGAACATACTTTTCCATTTTTTGTGAAGTGAAAATCATCGTGTAACTACCGAAGCATATGTCATCCCTAGCCAACCAGTGGTTGAATTGGTGCTCATGAAGATTTTGGGAGCCTGCAAGTTGTTACTTCGCCTCTTGGACTGTTGCTGCAAGACATTTCTGTATCCTTGAATCAACTGAAATGCCTTCCCCTGAACTGGAATTGTTTGGATAAATTTAATAGTATTTGTTTGAAAGCTAGGAGGTTTGTGGAAGTTATAACCTATTCTTAACATTTTGCTTCTTGGCCTCCTTTTTCTAGGAATTGCTTGATACAGCAATTGCCAGAGACTGCCAGTCTCTTTCTAACATGTGTTATCATAAGGGCACTGATAGAAATTCTTAATCTTAGAAGTAAAATAATGAGTGTTCTTGCAGAGTACATGTTACTTTTAAGTTTCCATGCCTGAAACAGAACGTGTTTGTTTGTTTTTTAATTTGTTTTTAATGTTCATTTATTTTTTGAGAGAGAGACAGAGTGTGAGTGGGGGAGGGGCAGAGAGAGGGAGGGAGACATAGAATCTGAAGTAGACTCCAGGCTCTGAGCTGACAGCATAGAGCCCGACACAGGACTTGAACCTGCAAATCCTGAGATCCTGATCTGAGCGAAAGTCGGAGGCTTCACTTACTGAGCCACGTAGGCGCACCCAGAACATGTTTTAAAGCTTTAATTTCTTCAAGAAAATTCTATTTCCATTCTGTTTCTTTCATAAATGTAACTTACAAAACCCAATTACTTTGGTTTTGTTTTCCAACTTTAACTTGATTCTCCAGCTTGACTGTGAAACATCTAGGTTTACAAGAATTCATTATTTTAAACCTTGTGATGGTTGGGCTGGTGAGCAGGTTATGGTATGTATGCACCCACCTCTGAAATCCTTCATTTGTTTTTCATCTAACTCCACCTAGGTTTCTCTTTAGTGGTTTTCATATTTGTTTTCCTGTGGGATGCTGATGGTGCAGGGGTTCCATTTCTTCACTTGGTCAGAGTTTATTTGGGATGGATTAGGAACTAGAGTGTTGATGGTTATGTCCTTGATGTCTTAACCTGGGTATCTCAAGTACTATTTCATCTTGTTTATTCTGCTTATTCTTAGGGGTAACAACATTAGAACTACTAATAACTAACATATTATTTTAAAATGTCAAACCTTCCATTCTTTTCTATAATGAAAATAGCTTTAATTTTTGCTGATTATAGTAATAATACATGCTTATTTTAAGACATTCCAAAAAAAAAAAAGAGTGAAGAACCTGAAATTTACCTAAAATCTCACCACAGTTTACATTTTGTTGCGTATCCTTTGAGACATCATTCCATGTAGTACTTAAAGTAAATTTTGTACTTGGATTTTTCTGTTTGGGCTGGACAAATCTGGCTCTATGCAAATATGTCCCAGAGCGTTTTTTATCTGTAGTGGCAGATTGATCGACATTTATTTTCAGCTTTGAATCTGTTGTGGTTATTAAATAATCTGCAAATTATAATTACTGGCTAATTCATGACCTCCTCTTTCTCTAGGGTTCTCTATAAAGGTGTTTTAAAAAGGCTGACTTCTTTATATGAGCCATTGTTTGGATTGCTTCATGAAGTCTCTAGGATTCAACCACTGCCTTACTTCAAAGATTTTACCTTTCCTTCTGATATTGCCGAATTTTTAGGACAGCCCTATTTTGAGGTCTTTAAGAAAAAAATGCCCACAGCTTTTGCAACTACTAAAGGAGTAACTAAATTGTTAAATAAACTGTTTTTAACAAAAAATCAATCACCAAGGTCTAGCAAAGAAACTGTACACAGAATTTCCAAAAAAGCTAAGCAAATGAAGATCAATATACAGAATAATGTGGATCTTGGACAGCCAGTAAAGAGTAAGAAAATCTTCAAAGGTAATTTTTCTTAGCACATATTCATCTAATTCCCTTTATTTCTTTTGTAGTAATTTGGCAAGAAATATTATATACTTGAGAATTCATTGATTTGAAAATTGTTTGCTTAAGTTTTTGTATCTGTGGTCTCTCCACCTCTACAGAGAAGTCATCAGAATTTGATTTGAGAGCTTTCTGCAAACAGCTGAAGCACAAGGCTATTCAGGTTTGTCTGGCTTCTATTACTATGGCTTATGATTCTGCTACTTTATAAAGTAGATACCACTTACCAAGGGCAGAGATTGAATCCTCTGTTTTTGTCACCAGCTCTCGGCTTAGTGCCATCTTAGTTCTCAGCCTGTTTCTGAATGAATACAGGCACTCCCAAAGGACTGAGTGTATCCAGGAAATTCAGTTTATAGAATGCCTCCAGAAACATTTTACTAAGCATTTCACTAGAATTTTAAATTGCCCTTAGGATCCACTGCAGGTGTGGATTATATTAAGAGTATGCACTTTGTAGTCAGACAGAAATGGTTTGAGTCCTGGCTTCAGTTGGTACTAGCTGTATGACCTTATATAAGTTTCTTGACCTGTCCAAACCTCTGTTTTCTAATAACAGTATGCACCTCATGGGATTATGCAGTTTTAATTCATGTAAAGTATTCAAAGCACTTAACTGTTGTTAGATGTCATTAGCTACTTTTTTCATTGTTACTGTCATCCTTGTCTTTTGTCATGAGGCTTCTCTTTCTTTCCCTGTCAGGGTTCAAGTTTTAACATGATTCCTCTTAGTATCTGTAAATTCTGTTCTGGACCTAGCAACAGATAAGGACATCAGTGTCACCCTCTTTCATGTGGTAACTACTTGACTTCTATTACCATCTGTTTTTCTCAAATTGTTTTCTCCTGGTTTCTCGCATGGATTATTTCTTCGTTCTATTTAAGAATTCTTAATCATTTCTAGTAAGTCAGAGTACTTTCTTGAATGTTTATAAGGATTCTAGCTTGGATCTATATTCTGTCCAATTTATGAGTTCCAGAGGGAGGAATCATCATCATCATCTTCATCAGTGTCTTCATCATCATCGTAATAACAGCTAACACATATACTGCACTTACTCTATGCCAGGCAGTGTTCGAAATGCTTTACATGTATTAACTCCTATAAACCTTGCAAAAGCCCTGTGAGGCTGGTGATATTATTACTGTTTCCATATTTCAGCTGAGAAAATTGAAGTATAGAAGGGATAAGAAATTGCTCAGGCGACACAGCAAATACGGGGCAGAGCTGGGATTTGAACACAGGCAGTTTGGTTTCACAGTCTTTGTTCTTTACCATTATATCAGTCCCCCAAATAGTTTTGTCAGCTGTCTCAGGAACTGTAGCTCTCTGCAGTCCATCCTGCTGTTCCTAGGTGAGCTGGTTTTGAAGCTGGCTGGTTGGTCAGCTTAGTCATGACTCATCACTACCACATTTCTAGCAATTAGCACTAACATGCTCAGTTTGTTTTCAAGGTCAAATTTCTTTTATTGATCACCAACACAAAGTATTGCTATGTCTCTACTTTTACATTTTCTATTACTTTTTTAATGTTCTTCTTGAGTGAGAAATTTGGAAGAAGGCAAGTTTTGAATGAAGGATGAAAGCAAATCTAGTAAGTGGCATATTTTCATAAACAATAAAAGTTGGTACAATTCAAACTCCACTTGATATAGAAAGATGGGGTTGAAGAGACAAAGGTGCCACATCAAAAGATGGTTGAATTGGAAATGATGCTCGGTTTAAGCATTTTTAACATATTTTCAGCAGCCATCCGTATCTCCATGCATTTCCAGTGACGTTTGTGACCCAGTGTTGAGGGTAACTTAGGGTATAGAAATAAGTGAAAAACAAATCTGTGGTAATCCAGTAGTATCTACGAAAAGGTCTCTTCACTGATTTTTTTTTTCCTAGATAGACTTTGACCAATATTTATTCATTTTTATGTATAGGTTAAGTAGGTTATCTGTCAGAATATTTATAGTATACTTCCCATCTATGTTTCCCACCTGAATTCAGTTAGAGATGAGATCTATTGTTGCACAGAGGGGAAAAACATCTTGTGTTAGGAGCAGTTGATAAAAAATTAAGTTTTTTGAGACAAAGAAAAGCACAGTGAGCTTAAAAAAAGTTTTCCTTCTTAAGACATTTTCTAATTCTCATGGTGAGTTAACTTTTCTTTGTTGTTATATATTTGTAAGTAACAAATCCAATATATTTTTTTCACCTTTCCATATTTCAGGAGACCAGCGTTAAATGTTCTCAGTCCAAACTAAAGGCAACCAAACATTCTTCTCAGAGAGCATCAGGAACTCCCTGTGCCAAAAGTTTTGTGCAAAGATTTCGAGGGGCTAAGACTTTCACTCAACTTTCTGAAGAAATCCAAATGGCAATTTTGTGGTGCAGGAGCAAAAAACTCAAGGCTCAGGCCTCCTTCCTGGGTAACAAACTTCTTAAAAGTAACCGGCTTAAACATGTGGAAGCTCAAGGCCATGGGTAGGTATATAATAAAAATTATATCCTTAACTTTTGCTGTTGTCATTTAGGCAAACCTATATATATTCAAGTCAGCTTTTTTAAAAAAATGGTACGTCCAGTAGCTCTAGGGGGGCTAAAAGAGGGATCTATTCCAAATGCAGTTTTGTTTGCTTTTGTTGGGCACAGCTTTATTATTGAGAGGAAGAAAGTTAACTTGGTTAATTGGATTTATTCACTTATACTCTTCCCCATTCCATCTGTTAATTCAGAGAGCCTTAGGAGTGTCTGTGGTATGTTAAGCCTGGGGATACTCCTGTGTAAGACAGACTTAATTCTCATGGAGCACTAGCTCTAGCCCTTGCTCTCATAGGAGAGACAGCCAGTCTGCCCGCAGCTTCAGCATAGCAGGATGAGGATGTGAGAGCAGAAGCAGTCTGCCTCTTACAAGGGCACACACCAGACTCTGGGGTTAGGGTCAGGTCATGTTCGTTCATGGGTGCCAGATTCTCCGGGTATTGATTTCCTCTTCTTGTGGTCCTTAGGGTCACAGAACCACTTAAGGATGATTATCTTTTATTGTGACCAGTATTACTTGAAACACTACAATGAAGTTAGACACTTTAGGATTTTATATATATTTTATATATATATTTTATATATTATGTATATATATATATACATACATATTTTATACATTTTATATATATTATGTGTGTGTGTGTATATGTGTGTGTGTATATATATATATATATA